ATCTGACATGATAGGACCTTGAGGAACGATTGTTACAACCAGTATAGCTCGATTGGTTCATCAAGATAGGCGAACCCGACCACTACGTCAAGGTAGTAACAACGGTCGGGATTCATGATGGTTAATTTGTAAACTATATCATAAGGTGTTGCTCATCACACTATGATGATTATATTCAGACAGCTCAAAATTTCCGAAAATGCATATGCCTTAAAAAATTTACTACATATCATTTGTTTTAAAAGTTTGATGATATCTTAGGGACAATAACTGGATTCACAAAAAATTTAAACAATAAAAAGTAACTTAATAATGTGTAACATATCGAAACATAATTCAGTTTACTTCCATATTGATCAAATATATTGCTAACTGTTAATTGATAATATAAATGGTTGAAGTTAGACATTAACACCGTTGGTTGCTGATCCAGTAGTTTAGACCCGACCGAAGCTGCTACCTTGACGCGGTGGTCGAGCTTGCCTATCGTGATGACCCAACCGAGCTATATTGGCTGAAATATATGTTCCTGTAGGTTCTACAATGCCAGGCAGGTCGATTGGAGAACGGTAAGACTAAAAGCAGCAACTCAAGGTCTGAGGGAGAAGTCGTACTGCTGACTGTACAGAGGTGTGACAGCAGTAAGATGTTTCCTTCAGACAACCAGCATGACAGCGATGCTGCCTTCCCACAAGGAGGGGTGGGGTTACAAAAGGTCGACCCTAAAATGTCACACCTCACCTTACCTCACGGGTTTCCGTCTCCGGTGGTAAGGCTCTTTGAAGAACGGAGCTAACACATTAAAAACCTTCCACGAAAAGGCCGTGCGCGACCGGTCTCAAGAAGTTGTCCCTTGGGCTCTGCGATCACGCTCCCAGGTCGTTAAGACCAACACTAACCCAATTTTCTTTTCAGGTTCCTCAAGAAATACCCTCCAACGGTGTGGGCAGCCGGGAAGTGATATCAACCCTCATACCCGTAACAGCACACGAGACCAAGTTGGTCACATTCAAATCCTCCCTACACCTCCTAATACCACTCTTATCTCCATGACCAACCCTCTTCACGTCTTTTTACCCCAGTAGACAGTCGTTTGTGTGCTGTCCGACTGAACGGAACAGTAAGGATCCGAAAAGATAGGGACACTCGTCGTTGCCTCTTCGTCGTCTCTGCCTATTCTCCCACTGACTGCAGTGCAGATGATGTAAAAGATGAGTTTTACAGAAAGCTCTCCGACCTCCTCCGAAAAGCTAGGCGCTCGGATGTAGTCATAGTGGCCGGTGACTTTAATGCTCAAGTAGGTAAACTAAGGGATAGGGAAAGACACTTGATTGGATCTTATAGCATCGTAGCTCAAAGAACAGATAATGGCGACCGTCTGTTGCAGGTATGCTCAGATAACCGCCTCTTTCTTGCAAATACTAACTTTAAGCATAAGGAAAAACATCTTTTAACATGGAAACCCCCTAATTCGTCCCAACGTTGGACCCAAATAGATCACATCGCTATCAGGCAACGATGGAGGGACTCGATGGAAGACTGTCGCTCATTCTGGAGCACATGCTTAGATTCAGATCATGCTCTAGTACGAGCGTGTATCTGTCTGCGTCTTACTAGACGTAGGAAAGATGCTGCAAGTAAACTTCTTAGGGCCCTACTTAATGATAATCAAGCTAAGGGTATATTTCAGGAACAACTAGGAAAACAGTTAGGCAGCCATGTATGTGATGCCCACCCCGAGGCAGCATGGAATGATATTTGAAAAGCTGTGGAAACAGCAGTGATATCTGTTAGTACGGTAACCCGTAAGGTTAGGAAACAGCACTGGATCTCAGCAGCATCTATCGCACTGACAGATGCTCAGAAACTCATTCCACCTGGTTCTGAACATAATGAAGAGCGGAGTCAACTTAAGCGCAAGATGACAAGAAGTCTACGCAATGATCGTGAACAGTGGTGGGTAGCGAAAGCAAGAGAAATGAAAAAGGCAGCGGCAATAGGTAATAGCAAACAATCGTTCAGACTTGTTAAGAAAACCGGTATTAGGAAACCGACTGTTAGCGAAACACTCTCAGAGAAAGATGGACATATTATTCATTCTCAATCCAGGAGATTGGATCGATGAGCAGAACACTTTAGGGATCAGTTCAACTGGCCTTCAGCCACACTTCGGTTTCCCACGATCTCCAGTCAACCTGAATGACAAGTTAATGTAGGTCCTCCCACTCTTTACGAAGTTGAAAAAGCCATAAGAAATCTGAAGCGAGGGAGAGCAGTAGGCCCTGACAGGTTTACTCCTGAGATTTTTAAGGATGGTGGTTCAGTATTAGCAGTGAGATTTACTGAGGTCTTAGGTAGAATTTGGGAACTGGATGAAATCTTATCTGACTGGTCTCAATCACTGATTGTGCCAGTCTATAAGAAAGGACAAAAGTCCTCTTGTGATAATCACAGAGGAATCAGTTTGACTAATATAGTGTCTAAAATATTAGCTTCAACAGTACTTCGACGCTTAACTAAAGCTCGTGAAGAACAGACTAGAGAAAACCAGGCTGGTTTTCGACCTGGACGTGGTTGTATAGATCAGATATTCACACTACGTCAGGTTCTAGAACACAGACACACTTTCAGACGCCCCACAATGGCAGTATTTCTCGATCTTAAGGCGGCATTCGACTCTGTTGATCGTAAGGTTCTATGGCAGTGTTTGTCACTGAAAGGAGTACCAAAGACGTACATTAACCTTATACAGGCTTTCTACTCGAACACAACTGGTAGAGTGAGAGCTTATGGCGAACTGTCATCAGAATTGATTACCTCAAGTGGTGTTCGTCAGGGCTGTCCACTCTCCATTCTTGTTCAACTTTGCCGTCGACGTACTTTTAGAGATGACACTTTCCTCATCTAAACTTCCAGGGGTTGAACTTCTACCGGGAAGTTCACTAGTTGACTTAGAATATGCTGATGACATAGTTTGATTTGGCGAAGATGCTGACAAAATGCAGTCTACTGACCACTCTAAGCAACAATGCAAGCATGTTCGGGATGCAATTCTCCCTCTCGAAATGCAAAATGTTGCTTCAGGATTGGGTTGCATTGACACCCGAACTAATGATAGGGAGTGAAGTAATTGAGCGTGTCGATCGCTTCACTTATCTTGGAAGTCTCATCAGCCCTTGTGGTTTGGCGTGTGACGAAATCTCAGCACGGATACAGAAGGATCGACTAGCTCTTACCAACTTACATCATTTATCGCGTAGGCGAGATATCCGTCTATCAACCAAAGGACGTGTTTACTGCGCAGCAGTTCGTTCCATCCTGCTTTATGGCAGTGAAACATGGCCGGTAAGAGTAGAGGATATTCGTAGGTTACTAGTATTTGATCATAGGTGTCTTCGAAACATTGCTCGTATAGCCTGGGACCATCGAGTAAGTAACGCAATTGTTAGGAAACGCGTACTAGGTAAGGATGGAAAATCAATTGATGACGTAGTGAAACTTCATCAGTTGAGATGGCTGGGATACGTGTTACGTATGCCCAACCACCGACTGCCCCGACGTGCGATGTTTCATGGTGTTGGAGTAGGATGGAAGAAAACTAGGAGTGGCCAGACCAAAACATGGCACAAGTTCATGAAATCACTGACAAGTGGACTGAGTCATGTTAGTAGGTGTAGACTACCTGGTTCGGGACAGCGAGATGATAGCAATCGATGGTTAGAGACCCTGAATGACATGGCTCAAAATCGTTTGCAATGGCGCAGGTGCATCCACTCTTTATGTTCTCCCAAATTTTGATCTCCTTATTCCTCCTTGTCTCTTCTTTTTTCTCTTCCCAAGTTTATTTCACTGTATTATACTCTTTAAGTAACATCTCCAAACACTAATCTTTCCGATTACTGCTTATACTCTTATTACCTCTACCAATACGAGATTTGAGTCGACCACTGCATCTCTGTGCTAATGTGGTGTGGCAACTCGAACTGATGTACGTACGTACGAAGTTCTACGTTGTTACTGACTGACAGTAGTTAAAAGGTTAAGTGTTTGCGCACGAAACCGTGGATACGCACTGCTGAGTCCCATACCAAGACGAAACAGCCGTCCAGTGCTTTTACATTTCTATTGATCTAACATTGATCGATTCATGATCTCAATAAAAAACGCCAACAATCTCCAAAACCCCAAATTGATAATATGAATGTACTTTATTTTACTACAAAATCATTATTTTATGTTTTATCTAATTCTTTTCTTTCCTTCATGTTCATGCATCAATTTACTTTACACTTATAAATGAAACATATACATATTGTTCTAAATACTAATATATCAACAATAATATACAACAGATAAAATTACTAACAACTGGACATACCCATGATGTTATTTTATGTAACTCAACTATTGGTTTACAGTAAATTTACTACGAAAATGTATGTTATAAAAAAAAGGTTGAACAGCTGTAACTTTATAAACATTTGAAATATAATATTTAACACATCTAGTATAAATGTTAATTAAGTTGATTAACTTTTTCCACTTATATTTACTTCAATTAATTTAATGGATTATTTAAATTTAGTCATAATCATAAACTAACAGTAGTTCAAGAACTGTTAGAGACTAGAGAAAATTAGATTACAGTTTTGTTCGATGTTTAGAATTTCTTAGTAATACCCACTTAAAAATTTATAATCTTAGTTAGACAGCAAGTGCAATACTTTAAAATTACTTAATCAAAATGAAATTATCTACATTTTAATTTCAATCGATTCGTCATACAGAGCGGTGATCAAGAAATTGCATCAGTAAATGACTTATTCATAAATAAGTTAGCACCATGAATCGCAACGTTCAACTGTTAGTTCAAAAAATCTATCTTAAAGTTAACCGCTATTAAAAACAATAACTAGGAGGTTTTCATAATTACCAAGTAATGAAACATGTGAAAACATTTTTTGAAGAAAAAAGACAGCATATATATATTCCAAACTTACATTATTAAGCCATGCATCAGATAATTTTAATGAAGTACTAAATAATTCAATAGCTGAAGTATTCGATTCCAAATTGAAATCTCCAGTAATTATAATTGCATCAGAACCAGTGGATGTCATGCGAACAAATTCCATTATTTCAACTAATTGAGATATTCGATGTCCATTATATTTATCTAACATACGATCTAATTCATAACGAGCAATTAACTTGAATGGAAACAGAAAAAATAACATCTCGAAAAAAAAAGGAAATTGAGCAACTGAATATGAGTATATATATGTATACAACCAAGTCGAAATTACCATGGGATTATTGATTAGTTAACTTGTAAGAAAATAGGATTTGAATTAAAAGGCTTGAGTACAAATTCTAAAAAAATACTATGATTGATCACATTCTTCTATTTACAAATTTATTAGTCCAAGTAGTTACCATTATTAATAAGTGGTTACTAACTTTTATACATGACTTAACAAAGTTCATAAATCAAAGATGTGAATATTTCAAGTCAGATAATTGCGATAGGCTATTCAAATAAAAGAATGGTATAGGCTAGTACTATGTGAAGTCCACATAAGTTGTTCTAGTCTCTGGACAGATCAATCTATTCACTCTTCTCAAGCCATATTTTTAACCTGTCACTTATTCACTTATTAATCTGGACTGTTTTTATATGGTCATATGTGTGTGCTAATTACTTACCTTACTTATCACATGTCTTATTCTTGGTCTGAATATAAATATCGATTCACATATGTCTAAATGGAGTTGGATCACTCACCTTTTCCACCTGGTGTCATTTCGTTTTGCTTCGCCTTCCGATCAACGATTGTACGAAATATTCCCGTATTGCACTTATTTAATTCCGTTACTCATTAATGTTAGTTAAGTCGATGATTATATACGAGGATTGACGACATCTATATTTCGACGACAAGCAGCAAACAATCTACCTAGAGTCAGATCTCGAGCCACTAAAGAACTAATTAATACATCCCAGTCTCTAAAGTTTCCTTCCATTTTCGTTTAAACTAAAACCTGAAATAAGTAGGACAGTATATCTTCGTGAAACTATCGTAAGGGCTTGTATCGTTTAAATAAAGAATATGATTTAGTCGAATGTACTGAATATTATGACACTATATAAGTGTAAATCAGTTCAGTTTGTTGATAGAAAGAAACAAACAGGTCATATTTAAACTTGCAAAACTTAAAAAAGTAAGATATTTTGAGATAAAAGTAGATTTGTCATTTAAAACTGTTAGTCTAAAAACAGCGCGGAACATATGAACCAAAGAGTCAATAAATTCCCATATTACTTAAGGTTAATTAACACGCTAGTCTGATGAAATTCAGCCATTAACAACTTATTGTCACTCTGATCAGAATATTAAACTTGAATAAATGAAGTTTTTTAATGCTCAAAAAAGTATCTGAGATGCTTTCTCAGTTTAGTACTAATGGAATTCTCGACTGATTTACTTTGCTTGACTACAAGTTTAGGTTTTATTTCAACACTACTGACAACATACTTTGACTGCGTTTAAATAAAAATTTTGACTTAAACTCTACTAGTTATTTCTAAGTAAAAATTCAAATGTACATTCACTCAGTGAACACTAGAATTTCCTTTTTTTCTGTTGTTGCTTGACTGAAAATATTCACTCACCAGCTTTGGTGATTACATCATGAACATTTTTCCGAAATCCATAAACACCAGTATAATTACTAACCTCAATATCTAAGTACCACTAATATGAGTTCAGATATCATCATAATTTTACAAAAATAACACAAATTGTAGCAACAAAGTTTATAATTTCTTTTTAATTTTTAACTGTTTTAACCCATTAAATGGATCATGTGATTATAGCATTCATAATATTGTGATGCAAACCTCACTTTTTTTGCAGTAGAACTGAAATTACGAAAAAAATATAGCCTTTTGTCAGTATATAAAATCCACGACTATCGAAATTATTGAAGAACAATTCTCTCCTTATTTCAGTAGTATAACAATGGAGAAGATAAAAATATGTCAAAAGCTTTTTATTCGAAGAGTAAATCTTAAAAACCTCATTAGACAAGTGGTTATTACAGAACACATAAATCCTTCAAATAAATTGATAAATAAATCATGAATGCTTAAAGAATGATATCAAGAAGAGGTTTTGTGAATACTATAGTAATTTAATAGTTGTGTTCATGAGTCTATTGAAGCTAGACTACCATGAAAAACCTGGAAGCTCTGGACAGTCATTTTGTTCTACTTTGGGACTCTTCAGCAGTGTGCATCCATGATCCTGCCCCGCGGGATTCAAACTCAGGACCTATCGGTCTCGCGAACAAATACCTAACCTCTAGACCACTGAGCCGGCATCCAACGGTGTCAATGTCTAACTTCAACCAATCTACGAAAATGAGCCACTGTCCACCATAGTCTTCAGTCAGTTACTATCTCATAACAGACCATAGTGGTCTAGCTTCAATTGACTCATAAACCCAACTATTAAAATACCATACTATCCACAAAACTCTTTTCTGATAATAATCACCATACGCTCACTAGTGACTATCTTCAAGAGGTATTTCCTAGGGTTCTAGTGAGAAGCAGTGACCAGTGGAGTTCAACCGGTCAAACATTGTTAAACACAGACTTTATGCATCAGTATTATATGTTAGAGATAAAATAATGCCAAATAAACCTATTCACTTGGGGCTTAAGATCATATTAATCTATTAAATAAAACTACACTGTAAATAATAGCTATATACATACCTGGCAAATTCGTTGGTAAGCTTATAATTGTATAAATCACACAAAAAATGACTGCTTTAGAAAAGTGTTATTATTATCATTATTATATAGCTCATCAGTCATGTGATATATTGATTATCTGACTAGGGACTAATATTATTTTAATTATACGAGTAAAAAAGGAAAAAGGTTTAGAAAAATTTAACACTTATAGAAGTTTATTTAAAATAAAAATATTATTATTATTGGTATCGTTTAAACTTGTGTTAATTTTATTTCGTCTATTTATATACTTTGAAGAAGTAACTTGAATTAAGTTATGAAACGTCAGAAGTACAGTTTTCTACTCATTGAAATATCGCAAAAATATTGTTATTATTAATGGCTTTATTCAATATTCTACGTTTAATATAATTCTAAAGCTACAACTCAACAAGTTTCCTTTCCAAAAAAACGACACCTGAATACAGACATAAACTAGGTTAATAAACTAAATGAAATATCTTTTAATGAGATTAGAATCTGTATAATTTTTACTTAGAATCATGGTTAGGAATACACGTTATTGACTACGTCAGCTCTTACAACCTGTTCGTCATAATTTATTTCCTAAGTTATTGCAGAGCTTTTATATATTCGCTTGCGTGCATGGATTCTAAGGGATGTATTACATAATCCAGTAATCATTTCAGTTACCAAAGGAATGATATTTTGAATGTCTTGATTAAAATATGTTCAATTAAAACATATCTTATTAAAGGTTTAGAAAGATAAATTTGAATACATCAATTTAAATGTACAAGTTTTTGCGGTAAATTAATGGCAGTCAAAGAGCTGCTAAATAACAAAAAAGTAAGGAGTGGCCTAACTTTTTATTAAATAGTATCTAAGCCTATGACTATTGTGAGAATTACAATTACAGACCTCTGATTTCAAGGTGAGCACGAAAACCGTAAACATCTCTAAACTCAAATGCAATAACTTAGCTTTGTTAACAGACAAATTATCATCATTACAAAGCATTTAGAGTTCCATGAGTACTGCTGTACTTAACTAAACCTGAATTCGCACCTAACTTTATGAATATTGAGGTAGCTATATTAGCGTTCGCTATTTGTTTTATTTATTCTCATAAAAGAGGACAAAATGAATAGACACTAAGGTATAGTCTGATGGCTGAAACATACAACATCCAACCAGGTCACAAGTTCTGTCTATTTTGGCTTGGTCAGTTTGAAGTAGAGTATGATAAACTGTAGGTGACTTATGAGTAACATAAATACCACTTAGCCATTAATTAAACACATACTTTAATAAAAATATTATTAAAAGATCTCAGAAAAGATAATTTATCCAAATTCTTGTTAGGTGTTGTCTGTACTACTAAATATAACTTTTGAACAATAAATTATCTTCATTATAATAGACCACCTTTGGAAACCTAGAAGGTGGTCTAACATCAATCGGTTCATGATCTCAATCAAAAACTTAATAATCTCCACAACCCCTATACTAGTTATCAACATGCACTCACTAGTGACTAGCTTCGTGAGGGAATTTTCGGAGTTCTAGTGAGAAGCCGTGATCAGTGGAGTTAATCCATGTCGGATAGAGACAGGTATCTACCTCAGTACAATGGAAGTTGGTCACGCGATTTCATGGATTGGTTGATGTTATACACTATCACCACTGGATGCCGGTTCAGTGGTCCAGTAGGTTAAGCGTTCGCGCGCTAGACCAGAGGCCTTGGGTTCGAATCCCGCAAGTGGGATCATGGATGCGCACTGTTGAGGAGCCCCACAATAGGACGAGACAGCCGTCCAGTGCTTCCAGGTTTCCAATCGGTTCAGGATCTCAATTAAAAAATTCAGTATACTTGATCTTATACTAATGAGGAGATATAAACGAAACTGTAGTTTATGAACGAACAAATCAGGTATAAGATAATAGGTCTTGAATTTCGGCGCGAAATTCACTCATCCATTTGACTAAATAGAGTTTTGACATTAAAGCTGATGTCAGATCGTGATGAAAATCCTAAATCTAATTCCTAACCTCAACCATCAACTGCCAATCCTAATCCTCACACTGGTTTACAACCTTCGTTTGGTCCGTTATTAGGTGAACACTCTCAAGGTCACTTTAGCGTCACGCAAAGGTCTTCCATAACCTACAGTCTCACCGAGATATGCACACTTTTACCGCTAACACATGCCTCATCAAGTTATTAGTTGGGAAATATCATTTGCAAAAACGTTGAGTGAAAGAAGCGAAGTTTGGTGTTATATCTAAAAAAAATAACTTTGGTAAATCTTGAATGATTTCAAAAGTTCAGTAACCCTACTAATTATCTCCCATTAGTGTCATAGCAACTTGAAGACTAAATTTAGCTACCAAGGTAAAAGCTAGAACGCTAATTTTCATGTTTTGGTTTCAGTGCCTCTGTTGTTTCACCAGATCTTACACAATCCATACATTTCAAGAACATGTGCATGATTCTGTATTGTTTAATAAAATGAAATGGTTTCGGTAAACAAGCTTATTGTATTCATAGCAGACCATTCCGTGATAAATTAATATTTGCTCAAACTTTGAGGTATTAAAACTAAACTATTTGAAAATAACGACGTTTCCATGGGGATTATCAAAAACACTGAATAACACAATTGCATTAAGGAAAAACAGCTTATCACAAAGACCTACTTTTTATGAGTCAAAAGCTGTATAATTATAGGACTGATAATGTCGCAAAATCTGGATAAACAAGAATGACCCAAGGTTCCAGTACATACAATGAGATGTCCATAGAACACCCATTAAATAAAGAAATGGACAATGCTTCATTATAAAGCAGTGGAAACTGAGTGAAATGCAATGTAGGCACAACTTTTTTGAAAATTATGAAACAAAAAAGAATTGGAACTGATTGTATCGAAAAACTGCTGACCATTCAAAACCAAACTTTATTGTTTTGATGCATTAGAAGGGGATACTACTAATAAATTTCTTGATACTTAAGCGACTGTCCCAGGTAAAACAGAAATATATGCCTGCTTTGTAACTTGATTAGTTTGGAATATTCCAAGTTCAACAAACTCTGAGAGATCTAACTATATGAGTACTTTTTAACAAAGTCTACAAACAACTTTTTATCAAATAAAATCCAGTTAATCAAACTTATTTTTAAAGAGAAAAAATCTTACGTGGGTTACATAAAAGTTAATCCTAAATCCTTCTTTGCTTGTGATCCGGGCTAACCCAATACCTTTGCCACAATAGTAATCAGCTTGGTGAATAAGATGAGGATATCCGTTAGCAGTAAAGGGATGTGTGAACACACATTCTATAGTCCATTTTGAAAATATGCACATACCAGTTCCTATAAGGTTGCTAGGAAACATTGAAATGACTCCATAGAATACATACCAATAAAAGTAATTAGAGTATGGATACTTCTCGTCCAGAATGTTTCGGAGCTTTCTGTAATCTGATTCCAGCCAAATCTGCCAAAAGCTAGTTCAACGAGTACACCTACCTACCTCCTGAAGTAAAATCACGTCGAAATCCCCAACTGATAACTTTGCGGCGATCGCATTAATACGGTCTTCTTTTCTCACAGTCGGAGACGGGAAAAACACGGCCCTAAAAGGTCAACTAGAGAAATTTTCACAAACCAGCAATTAAATGTTAAAACCTTGAACTTTTCTTCGACCATGTTGTAAATTATAATATCAGAGGCTGCCAGTGAAGCTTTACGGCTCGGAGATAAATCTCGACGTTTAGTCTGCAGAAAATGTATAAGAAAAATGTACTGCCTAAATAAAGAGGATTCTACTATTCAATATCGTATCATTGCATTTAAAAGATATAACAAGACAACATACAATACCCATGCAAAAAATAAGGTGAATCGACTTCTAAACTTTTCAAAACAATGATTATATAAATGCTGATATGATGAAACCACCCTGCTAAGTAGGAAGCCACTTACAAAGCGGCGAAAATTATTCGAAAATCGCTCCGTTACTGAAGTGTTGCCTTGCCAATCATATAAAGTTTGATAATACGAATATAACCAATATGACAGGACTTTAATGTGGCGTGCTTTTAGAACATTTTAAATCACCAGAACGTAGAATTACCTCAGGTTTATGATGATCTGTTACAAATTTCATTGATCTTCATGGAGCATCATAAGTTTTCTGCACAGTTCAGTGTACTGAGTCTAGTCACTTGATTCCCAGTGACCATCTTCATGATTACGAAGATCTTTGGACCGACGAATATCGCTTTAAAAGTTCTATTGACTCGTTAAATGCTGGAAAAGCAGAAAAATATATGTTGATGTACAATTTTACTAACTTCGGTTTTATAGATCACGAAGACCACTGAGCGCATAAGCGCTTATTGTTTTCCCGTGAGAGTGCTGGATTTCGAGCGTCTTACTGCCGTTTCTTCAAGTGTTTTGCTCAATAATAAAGCAGACATTTAGTGTAACGATTACAATTGGATTAGTCGCAGCGGCTGCACTCGAAATAACTTCAGTGTTTTACCCGGTAATATGATCAAAGCTACTCTCCAAGAAATAATGAATACTGAAATTTCCGAGCAACGTGTAAATTTTGATGATGAAATCATCCGAAAGCCTTATGCAGCAACTTGTAATTTTTACATAGTAGTGTCACGAGAGTTAATACACTGGATATGATTCAAGAAAGGAGGAACAAGAAAGCAGTGATCAATACCAGCCGAACAAGAGCAGAAAAAGCCAAGGCACAAGCTGAATACACAGAATTAAACAAGCAAGCGAGGAGAAGCATCAGAACTGACAAATGTAAATATGTGGAAGGTTTAGCAATGACAGCGAAAAATGGTGCAATAGAAGGAAACATGAGAGAACTGCATGACACGACAAAGAAACTCTCTAAAAATCACCGTAAACCACAACGACCAGTGAATAGCAAGGAAAGCAAGGTGATCAACAACATTGGAGAACAACGAAACAGGTGGCTAGAACACTTTAAAGAACGCCTGAGTCAACCAGCAACACTGAACCCACCCAACATCAAAGCAGCACCCACGGACCTCCCAATCAACGTTGGCCCACCAACAATTGAAGAGATAAGCATGACCATCAAACAAATCAAGAGTGGCAAAGCAGCGGGACCAGACAACATTCCAGCAGAGGCACTAAAAGCAGACGTAGCGGCAACTGCAAGGATACTCCACATTCTCTTCAACAAGATTTGGGATGAGGAACAAGTACTAAAAGACTGGAAAAAGGACTCCGTAGACGCCCAACTTCGTGACCAACAGGCAGGATTCCGTAAGGATAGATCGTGTACAGACCAAATCGCAACTCTACGGATCATTGTGGATCAATCAATTGAATGGAATTCATCACTCTACATCAACTTCATTGACTACGAAAAGGCATTTGATAGCGTGGACAGAACAACACTATGGAAGCTTCTTCGACACTACGGCGTGCCTCAGAAGATAGTCAATATCATACAGAGTTCATATGATGGATTACACTGCAAAATCGTGCATCGAGGACAGTTGACAAGGTCGTTCGAAGTCAAGACCGGTGTCAGGCAAGGTTGCTTACTCTCACCCTTTCTCTTTCTCCTGGTGATCGACTGGATCATAAAGACGTCAACATCTGAAGGGAAGTACGGGATACAATGGACATCTAGGATGCAGTTGGACGATCTGGACTTCGCAGATGAACTGGCCCTTCTATCCCAAACGCAACAACAAATGCAGGAGAAGACGAACAGTGTAGCAGCAGCCTCAGCAGCAGTAGGTCTCAATATACACAAAGGGAAGAACAAGGTTCTCCGACACAACACAGTATGCACCGATCCAATCACAATTGACGGAGAAGATTTGAAAGATGTAAAAACCTTTACATATTTTGGCAGCATCATTGATGAACAGGGTGGAACTGATGCAGATGTGAAGGCGCCGATCGGCAAAGCAAGAGCAGCATATTAACAACTGAGGAACATCTGGAACTCAAATCAACTGTCAACCAACACCAAGGTCAGGATTTTCAATACAAATGTCAAGACAGTTCTACTGTATGGGGCGGAAACCTGGAGAACTACGAAAGCCATCATCTAGAAGATACAGGTGTTTATTAACAGTTGTCTACGCAAAATACTTCAGATCCGTTGGCCGGACACTATTAGCAACAACGTACTGTGGGAGAGAAGAAACCAGATCCCAGCGGAGGAAGAAATCAGGAAGAAGCGCTGGAAGTGGATAGGGCACATATTGATGAAAGCACCCAAGTGCGTCACAAGACAAGCCCTCACATGGAATCCTCAAGGCCAAATGAGGAGAGGAAGACCAAAGAACACATTACGCCGGTAAATAAAAATAGACATGAGAAAAATGAACAAGAATCGGATGGAACTAGAAAAGGAGGCCCAGGACAGAGAGGGTTGGAGAATGCTGGTTGGTGGCCTATGCTCCATTGGGAGTAACAGGTGTAAGTAAGTGTCACGAGAGAATTTCATGTTAAAATTGTTTACTAAGTGGAAATAGAAGAATGCGCTTGTTATTTGCGTGTAATTCTTGAAAAAAACTGTGGTGAAATGAAATATTTTGTCCACTGACCCGAATTGTAGGGCGTTGTGTTAAACGTCTTATCCTAGGCGACATCAATCCATAGCACAGTTGCGCCGAAGAGCTTTCGTTGTTAATCCGTAGACCATTTTACTGGCCAACACTAATAAAACATCGATTATTTGGGAGTCATGTATTGATATACTATACGACAGATGGCCGTAATTCCTGTATGAACTACCAGGAAAACTTTCGATTTTTGACATTGTACTGAGATTAATTGTAACCCTCAAACAGCTAACTCAATTTTCCTCATAGTTTTCATTTTGAACCTTCAATTATCGGTGAGTTTTTGTCATGTGTAGCTTGCAATTTTTACCCACATGTCCAGTTTCGGAATATTTCAAACACGGTTATTTCTTTTTGAATAATCCTGACCTTCGTTATGCATGTGAACTGATTAATTTTCCACAACCATACAAATAATAACTCTTACTACACAAAAAATTCAGTATATTTATTTTCCACCTTAGCAACCTGCTCAGCAGCCACGTTTTCGTAAATTACAGGATGACTAAGACCTGTTATGTTATGTATCATGTCGGCAAACCTCAAAGACCAAGTCGCATCTGATTAAATCAGCTCTAAAGCAGCGAAAGTTCTTGCTGTAGTCCCTACATCTTTCATGTTTCCATTGATCCTTATCCATCTTGCCTGTAGGAAGAGGTTTGTCCACTTTCTTCACTACGCCTATCATGTTCAGCTATTGACACTCATCTGTTATCCGCAAAGTTTTTATACTAGCACAACAAGCATCCAAAAACAGAAAGCTTGTTAATATATGGTCTGGGTTTGTTTTATCTGCATTTAGTCTTTGGCACTAAAATAATAGACCTGATCCCAAAATCACAGATTTGTTGTGATTTGATTACCTAATCTGTAAGATTTAACATGTAAGTCACGTAATTGGCCATACTGACTCGTCCTACGTGACAACCAGCAGTATAACGTTTAACACTGTTGAAGGGATGGAATGGTATGTTTGATATGAAAAGAGATAAGTTCCATAGAGTGACTGCGTTTCCATCACTTAGCCATGCCATACTAACTCAATGTTTCATGCTCACCGCTTCTGACCTCCAATTGTTAAGTGTTGAATGAGTGTTCTGCTTCAATGATCGTGTAGTTCAAGTACCAAAATCTCTATAAAATCCATTAGACCAAATTTATTCCGTCGGTTGTTGTATTCCACAAGTTCAATTTAAAACGTGACTAGTCCCAAATTTCAATCGTATCTAGCTCAAAATGTGCTTCGTCATCATCATCATCAAGCAGTTAACCAGACAAATCGAAAGTATCTATTGAATCATTACTCAATCAGCTAACAGGCAAATATCGATATTTCTCCACCAACAGAACCATAAAATAAGGAATACCCGCTCGTAGCAAAAATTTCTGAAGATAAACTCGAACCAAATTTCACTTAGTATGAGATCAAATAAGAAACTCAAAACCAGATAGTGAACTGGAAGATGTTAGAAACCAACCCCATAATTTCAGCTTGAGTTAAAATAAATTCGAAACTGACAGAAGCCCAGTGACAAATAGAAACTGTTATGATTGGTAGACTTACTGTCAGATAGCAAGAATATAAGCCCACTAATTCAACCACGCACTGACTGAGGAGATATGACAAACAATCACTTGGCGTACAAATTAATCAGTGTCACTTGAAAGCTCCGGCCCGTCGCACTTGCTAGAAGTGTTTGAGAGTTACAAAAATCAGTTTCAACAACAAAAAACATTGGTAATTCCGTTTACCATTCTTTCTGATATTCCATTCTAGCTATGGTGCATGCGGACTTCAAACAACTGAATAACACTGACTAAAGAATGAAATTCTAGTTTGTATGGACAAAACCCCCAGTTTTCATGCTGTCAGGCTTTCGATTTTGTTTTTTGCAGGCAATAAGCCTATTGTTGATGAGTTTGGGAGCATTAAACCTTAGCCAGGATGACAGCCTAAATGTTTGGTGTGTGGGGGATGAAGACGTAACGCATGACTGACCACACAAGAATATTCTCAAGAGAACTCAGTTATTTATCCCGGTCAACAGAGTTGTTCTTGTAGAATTATGGCATAAGTTCGTTGTTATTATTTTTCTAATAATAGACTTAATCATAATATTGTAGATTTGTCATGATGTGACTAATTATCCTATAAGATCTTACGTGGAGGTCACATCATAGTCTACACTGACTCGTCGTATCTTGACAAATAGCAAATATGATACTTCTTAAGAACACATTTGGGCTGAACATAGAATAATATATTCAAAGTGAATAACGACATGTTATACAGAATGGCCACATCCGCCAGGATGAGCTATGCCATTTGATTGAATTAATTAATTATTGCCGCCTTCTCCAAGTTTGGTCTTCTCTTTGTGACAAATGCTGAAGGTATATTTTCCCAGTTATCTCACATTCGGCTTTGGAGATTGTGTGGTTAGATCCCAATGCCACTACATGCTCACTCAACTAGAGTATCCTCCCAAAATCTGAAAGAATGGGATCGCAATAACTCCTGCAAAGATTTTACGTGAGTCCATTCATAAGGCAAGTCATCTGTGAAAACAAATCTGTGAAGAACTCATTATTTTGTTAAGTGAATACAACATTAAGAAGTTTTGAACTTTTGGTTTGATAAAAATGCAACCTACCCCATAGCCTTGCCTTTTCAGGTCACCGGAGGTACAATTCCAATCAAACGGAAAACCAATATCAATTCCCTAATTTCAGTATCGGTTTTTGATTTCTATCTAGAGCAAAGAAATAAAACAAGTTGGTATATATCACACCCATGGAGAGCATTGTCATGTAAATATAGTATATATTGTGTAAATAAACGGAATTGTAAGAGGATATGATGTAATATTTTGTCCGTTGAACCGCGCAAAACCCATATCGTAAGCGGAATAACTTTCAAGTGAAGGTATTTGAATGTCGTGATCCAGGTATACTTAGTATAGCAGCAACCTGTATCGCTAGATAAACCATTGTGAGATCAAACAGAATAAATTTATTGTGAGTAGCCACTCAGCCCAATGACTGTAAGTGGTCGGATGTATTGTTTTCCCTTTTTGCTTATCGCAGTCTACGGAGCTTGATCAAAAAATGAACCCGTTGACGGCAATATTACGCACACACCACCACACTGAATCTCTTTGACCTTTTACGACTATGTCTTGTTCATTCATCGATTATAATCCTTCAGGTTTGCCATAAACTATGTTACACTTTTATTCACTGTTTATCATCTAGTAACTGTTAGGTGTGTTGTTTATGTTGCCGTTTTTCTCTGTTCGAGATTGTCTTAGTTGTTTTTATTTACTGATCCAAATTACGTTTTAAAAACAAATAAGCTTTATTGACTCAGTTGTCGTGGTCCACAAGGATGCATCTATATACACGTGATATGGTCTATAAATCAATTACAGATTATATTTCGTTGGAAGCTGCCTCATTACACCCATAATGTATTTACTTACATCGAAAATGGATATTATTTCCGATTTCGTCGTCTCTGCGTAAAATGTATTGACTAGATATTTTAGGAAAGGTATCAGGTGATATCTAAGTGATACAAATCACAAAATGTATGCAACATTGAGTGAAACGGTTGTTCATAAAGTCAGCAACCCAAATTTCACGGAATAAGGACTCCCATGCGCAAAAATATCGTCGCATAAGGGTTAATGATTGTTGTTTGAATTTCTGAATGAATTAGAATGGGGGTCTATTATTCGCTACTTTAACAGGCATTGAGACTCAGTCTGCCGATATGAAAAAACGAAGTTCGTTTATGTATAGGCTTTTTATTGTTCACCCGTACCATAGATGTTCGGCTGTAAATATGACGTCAGTATAAACTAGTGAGTCATCATACCATTTTGTCTGGATAATTTTACTAAGCTCGCTAACGCGTAAGCACACCACTTCTGTCATACGTGTACTGAATTATAAGCGTCTTCTGTTTCGAAATTCTTTTGTATGATTGGGACAATCATAAAAAATATATGATTTCTTATTGAATTTGATATTTATGTCAAAAATGTACCACTGCAACATTGTACAATATCACACTCAACGTCTTTTACACTTTAGATGAACAAGTGTGTTTTGTTCAGTGACTAAACAGGAATATATGAAAGGAATAAATTGTCATTACCTTAATAAACAAATATTTTCAAAAACGGTTTTGATATCTTGGTTTCTGTACTATGTATGAACGTCTTGTATTCGAAATCAAAAGCCAAGGCGAACTCAAATACAAAACGACCATTAGTTCATACTAACATCACACGATCTCTAACCACATCGGCTCACTCTCACTATCACTCATCTGCGGTAAAAGTATACAACGTAGACTCAGTTCAGTTGACTGATGGACCTCATATCAACTGGTCACAGGAGTTTATTTAGTCACGTTTTTGTTGTTTTTGCAAGATCTCTGAAGAATTCCCATGGTGTGACTTATTTTCAAGAGATAGAGACTACCTACACTTTTTAAATGGACTATCTTTAGATTCTGAAGGTTAACCTACCAGTTCAAAGTGGTTCGTGATGATCGGGAGGTTGTGTGTGTTTTCTCGGTTAGCTCGTCGGAGAACTGTTTATGTATTCCGAGAGTTTTGTGCTGAGGCAGAACGTAACTGGTTTTTAATACTTTCACTGTTTTCCTAGTCTTGGTGGAAGATGGGAATAAGTCAAGAAGTTGTAAACCTATACGCCCTTTATATTTTGATTTTCAAGCGTCTACACAACTGGTAAATTTTATGTTGCGATTCAGTGTTGAATAAAGGATCCTCGCGTCTTAGATGCCATGTTGCCGTTTTATATTAGTCATTTTGGTAACCCTCATTCACGCACACATGAGTATGGTTGGTATTGCGAAGAAGCCGTTGAGAAAGCTAGAGAGGTACTTTCCATTTCTAACTTCTTAAAATCTTTCAGAACGTAGCTAATCAGATAGGTGCTGATCATAAAGAGATCATTTTCACCAGTGGTGCGACAGAAAGTAACAACCTAGCTGTAAAAGGTGTTGCTAAGTTTTACCACCCAAAGAAGAAGCATATTATAACTACACAAATCGTAATGAATTAGAGAGTAATTTTATTTGTATTTTAGGAGCATAAATGTGTCTTGGATTCCTGTAGAGTTTTGGAAAACAACGGGTTTGGTGTTACGTATTTACCTGTTCAGAAAAATGGAATTCTAGATTTGGAGGTACTAACATTCTTTTTTATGATCTATTATAGGTTCTGGAACGGTCTATTAAACCCGAAACGAGTTTAGTCTCTGTCATAGCTGTTAATAATGAGATAGGTGTCCTTCAGCCCATCGAAGAAATCGGAAGATTATGTCGAAGTAAAGGGGTTTTCTTCCATACTGATGCTGCACAAGCTTTCGGAAAAGTGCCAATTGACGTCAATGCTATGAATGTAGGTTTCTATCTCACCAGATGCGAAATGTTTTAGTTTCCTTTTTTATTTGACGATTCTGACTACACCCAATCAAATATCATGATGGTTCATTCTGACATAAGCTGGTATTCGTGAGTAGTAGTTTCTGCTAGCCATCGTTTTCGTCTTTAAGTACTTAATAGATGGTTTTTAAAAGTCAGTTTGCCACTTTTCTGGACTTAGGATTGAAGAATTGCAGTTTCTATTGATACTCCTTAGCCTGACGGTACTTTCTATATCCGTGGAGCGTGTAGTCATTTGGAAAGTAGTGAGTTTTATGTGCCCTCGAAGTGTCCAGATTGCGAGGTTGGGCCATTGAGGAGTTTTTTTATGGTTAGTAAGTTTATGTTTGAACTAATAAGCTATATTATCCCTAGACATGCTTCAGGTTGTCTGGTAGTCTTCTAGTTAGTCCGACAAGAACGTTTCGTAATGAAGTATGAATTTAGATACATTGTCGTTCTTAAAAGAAAGGCATACTCACTAATATGAATACACGGTGATTTGGCGTATCAATTCAATTCGTTGTGGTGAATTCATCAATCAGTTTGTAGATTGTATTGAAATGTTTTTGTGGATGTCTGTAATTACTCACAAAATGTCTGCATAGTGTCACTCCTTAAATTTCCCCTTCGATGACAATAATGAGTTTTGGTAAGCTTTAATGTGTTACTACATGGCAACCTACGTTTTACAGTTATAAATTTATTCATTGACATTCATGTAATTCACAGTAGTCTGAATTTAGACAGTGTTTCTGTACAGAATGTAATTACATTTCATTATAAACTAGTTTCTTACAAAAGATCAAGCTATACTTGGTTGGTTTTTCTAAATATTTCCCAGATATTTTATACTGCCTCTCGTTAACCACTTGTCTCGTTTTAAGCTCAATAATATGATTAGTCATCCATATATAATGACCCTGGTTTTAAGATTGAAGGAAACTCCATCAGTATGTGTGTTATCCCAAACTTATATATGTTTAGTAGCTGGATTTGTAATATCATTGATTACAATCACTTTTGTTACTATTTACCACACTGGAAATTTTAACAACTAGCTTATACAATTAGACGTCCTGAAGTCTACTATAAAGTAGGTTTGATTAAATCTTCCACACTAAGTGTTTACCATCCCGATAGGCCAGTTATTTAGCTACCTTGTACAAAGATCAAACCATTTCCCTATCCTCACAATAAAACTTGCTAAGAGGAATTTTCGTAAAATTACTCTCGATCTATTTATTGTCAACACCTTGTTACTATTACTGACTTAACCCCCACAACATCCGCGTCTATTGATAGAAATTATCAATTATAAAGTCATCAGTAAACTATATGTGTTGAAAAACTAAGATGGTTTAGTGTTTAATATATGTGATTTTCAAAAATTGACTGTCCACCAAGCGGTATTATGACCTGTCTAACTTATAATATTTTATAAGCATTGGTGCCACAGTCCAAACGATTATTTGTCTTACTTGGATTTTTCATATTATCGATATCGCCACTCAGTCAATATATGAAGTTCACTCTGGCAATAAATTATGAAGTTAACTACCAAATCCCAGGATTTCCCCAACTCATTGAATTTAACTAGGTTTCTTCTGACATGCTTGCACTGTATGCATTAATATTCAGTAATCACTTAATTTTGTGAGCGTAAATATCACTGTGTAATGGTTTATTACTTTTCATAAACATTACATTGTTGCGATGTGATGAACTTAAGGATATATTTTTATGGGACTCCTTTCAGATCGATCTCATGTCCATTAGTGGTCACAAGATATATGGTCCTCAGGGGATCGGTGCTCTCTACGTACGTCGTCGACCCAGGGTTCGATTAGAAGCTCAGCAAAATGGAGGTGGACAGGAACGGGGGTTAAGATCTGGTATTCTGAAGATTATGGGTTATAAGTTTGAAACTAAAGTGCCATATTACCATTTTTATTGTCAAAGTTTCCTCTCATTCAATAAATATATCTCAAAGTTTATTGCATAAGTTTATTGACATCCAGAAGTTAAAAACGGAATTGTTTTACTAATAAAGATTTTAGCGCTAGATTCATCCAACTCATTTGGTTAAATACCATTTCGACTGTATAACTTACATCAGTTCGTGATGAAAACATTGAATATAATTCCTTATAACAACGTTCAACTATAAATCCTAATCCTAGTTCCTCATGTTAATTTATAACCCTTATTTAATCCTAGTAAGTAGATGGACATTTTTTTTCCAAAGATCATTTTAGCATTATTATTTTATTTGAACACATGAATATTGGTACAAGAGAACGCCAATATATATGCGCCACACAAAACAATGAAAATTCGAAGAGAGATAGAAAAAAACTAGGAGCGCAGAAGAAAAAGAGAACAATAACGAAGAGATTGGTGTAAGGTAGTGTGGTAGTAACGAGGGAACGGAAAGGTACAATCAGAAGAAATCTTTCAGGTAAGGGAGACACAACCACTTTTTATGAAGAAAGTAAAAGAATGTTACAACAGGATCGCCACTGGCTTCTATTCTGAGCCATATCTGATAACGTCTCTACCCACTGTGTCGCACCATCTCTCGGACCCCAGCCAGGGAGTAGTGAAAGACCAACAGAAACCAACCCTTCGCAGCGTTCTTTCATACCACGTCATTAACAGAAAGAGACGAAGTTGTAAGGACTAATCCCAGAATAGGAGAGGTTCAATAATACTACTCAACTTCTCGAACTGATTTAGTTGTAAAGGAATCAGACTTATGACCCAGCGTTGAAAATTGAATGTCTAAAATCCAGCATATAATTTAGGTCATTAGAAAGGGGATTATAATCACCTATTTATTATGAATGTTTTTATTTACCTTCTTTATAACGACTTGTTTTTATTGTATTGAAAATCATCGATGTGTTAGGAGATTGGTTAGATATGTTAGTCGATTTTTTTAAGAACTACTGATTTTATCTATTGGTATACTTTAATCTGTAATCTTGCATTATATTAATTTCCTTTTAGTGCATGTACATCTGCTTCACTAGAGCCATCTTATGTTTTAAGAGCAATAGGGACTGAAGAGGATTTAGCACATTCTAGCATTCGATTTGGTATCGGACGATTCACCACTGAAGAAGAAGTTGATTTTACAGTCGCTGAACTAAGTAAACACGTTCAGCGGCTCCGTGAAATGAGGTTAGTTAATTAATTCTTTCAAAATATCATACTAGGTACATTATTTCTTGATGTAATTAATGTTTAACCATTTTAAAAGTTCCAATTGTTGGCCAACGACTACCATGGAACTGCATCTCCTTATAATGCTCCACTGCCTTGTGGATCAGACCTTTAGGTCAAAGGCTCGGGATGTGGCCCTCTAAGAAAACCACCTACTTCGGTTTGGGCACCCGGGCAGTGTCACAGTTCACACACAAATGAAGTGACTTGTGTGGCGTGTATGTATTCGGTGCCTCTTGTTATCAATATATATATATATATATATATATATATATATATATATATATATATATATATATATATATATATATATATATATATATATATATATATATATATATATAGGAATAGCAATTTAGTTTCAAATATATTCATTGTAGTGTAAAGTAAGTTTCCAGCTTTTAAAAGTTGTTTGTTTTCCTTGGTTGAATGTTTCTCTGCTTAACCTTTTTATTGTTTGATTTTTTTGGATTTCAGTCCTTTATGGGAAATGGTATCAGAGGGAATCGACATAAAGTCGATACAATGGACACAACATTGATCATTTGTTTCCTTATACTGGAAGTTTCATTGTAGTTTTCTTCTTCATCTTTGCCACAAAAAACTTCTATATTCTTTTATTTTCTAAGTGGAATTAAAATTTTAACAAACATTCATTTAACAGTTGGATCATGAAACTTCAAGAGTTATTTTTCTGTTTCTGTGAATATTTCAAAATAAGTGATATTTATACACAATTTCACATTGTAAAGCAATTCTTATTTTAGTTAATTTCAAAGTAATATATATTTTAGTGTTGAAAGTATTTGAATAGTCTAATAAAAAGCCGAAAATTATCAGAACTATGTCGTACATTAACACAATAAATTTCGAATAATCTGATCAAACATATACTTGTTAAGGACGTATATATATAAAGTTGACTAGACAAATGGAGGTTAAGTTTAAGGTGAGCACAAATTGTTTTTGAATTCATAAAAGGATTTCAAATTTTCGGATGACCAAGGCTTTAATAAATCTTAGTATACACCCTTTAACACTTTTGTACAACATCACCAAAGCCAAGCTAATATTAAACTTGTGACCTGTTTCAACTATGTGTTTGGCAATATAGGATGATGAATGTTTGTCATCTACTCCTGTTGGGTCATATGATTTTGTTTGACTTTGTAGTAATTCAGACACCCTATTTTAATGATCACGATTACTCTTCCCTATGTGTGCGTGGCTACACATACATTTGATCTAATGTGACGCAATTGTTTTCATGCCTCTTAGTTTTTTGGTGCTTTTTTTTACTTTGTGGAGAAATTCGATATTCTGTCGGAATTTTAACGTAAGCAGTGATCTAGACAATTACGAATTGATACAGGGTTCATCAGTGCTTCAGATGACATTATTAAACCAATTAGCTTCTGTATCTACTAGAAAAACCTACTAACAGTTGATTCTTAACATTTGTGATATTTTAGAAATAGAAAGTTATGTTACTTAAAAATATGTTTTATTTAGGTGCTTTGTAAAGAATGTATCATACTTTAGAAATGGTTTTCGTAAAAACATGAAGTTTGTTGTAAAAAAATGGAGGACACGAGATACCATTTGTTTTAAATGACACTATTGTCGGTTATTTTGTTAAACCCACATAACTTTTTCTAGCTTCTGGACAGGCCAATTTATCCTTTCTTCTTGAGTCACGTTTTGACTCATCACATGTCTGTAGCTTGTTTTTGTGACTATACATGTTGATCAACGCATAGTTAAATTGAGTTAGTTCACATGCCTTCTCCACTGCGCGTCGTTTCATTTCACTTTCTTCGCTTCGTTCCTCCGATTGCCTACTCGGATCAATGAGTGTACAAAATATATGTATTCGAAAATCCATTCTCGTATTTGATTTATTTAATTCCGCTATTCACGATAATTTATACACGTATTAACGATATGTATATTTCAATAACAATCATACGATATTACTGGAATCAGATAACGGGTCACTAAAGAGTTTCAAGTTGATGCAGACCTACAACCACTTCATTTCTCTTCACAACATTAAACTACCGAGCCATTTTAGTCAATCTTTTTTTTCGTTTGGTGTTTATATATTAAACTCCGCCTGTGCCTCTTTCTAGGGCTACTGCAAGTTCCGAGACCGGGTAAAGACAGAGGGTTGAGTGTTGGTTGGCAACCCGATCCCGTAAAAAAACATTACTAAAATTAAGCTATCCAGAATAAACAATTTAAACTCTGTCTGGGGAGTTGAAGGGAGTATCATGACGCCTCATGTTGATAGGTGTGGTTCGTCGAAATTCGGATGCTGCTGCTCTTCCTAACAACAGAGCAATAATTTTTATAGGTACGTGGAATTTCTGGGCAAGGTGGGGGTCGTTAGGACTAGTCAACTAGCAACGGAAATGAGAAGATATAGCTTGATGGTACTCGGAATCTGCGAAACCTATTTTACCCAAGCTGGACTGTAAAGGTTAGTACGGAAGTGATAACACTGTAGTCTATTAACGAAGAGGACAATGGTCTAAACACCCAGGGAGTCACTCTGATGCTGTCCAATGAAGCACAAAATGCCCTTGATGGGTAGTAATCTCATGGATCCAGGATCATCAAAGCATCATTCAAAACAAAGTGGTGGCGAATTACAATTAAATATCCAATGCTATGCACCCACCAATAATATCAGTGACGACGATAAAGATCAGTTTTATGAGAGGCTGCAATCGATTGTAGTGATGTGCTCAGGAAGGGACCTGATAATGCTGATGGCAGATCTAAACGCCAAAGTCGGAATGGACAACACCGAGTATGAGCATATCATGGGACTACATGTACTAGAATAAAAGAACAAGAATGGCTAGTAATTTATATATCTATGTGTATTCAACAAATTCGTTATTGGCGGCACAATTTTCCCACACGAACGCATACACAAAGCTACATGGTCCTCACCGGACCATACCACGGAGAACCAGATAGATCATATTTGCATTCCTTAGAAATTCAGGTCAATGGAAGATGTGAGAAACAGTAGGGGAGCTAATGTAGCTTCCAAGATGAAACTGAAGCTAAATAAGTGTTGAAAAAATGGAGAAATAGCATCACAGAGGTTCAAAACACACTTCCCTTGAGACACTGACAAAATCAATTCAACACAACTCTTAGAACAGAAGAGACTACTACGAGGACAACTGGGAAGGGATCAAAGAAGCATAAGTCTAACGTGTTTGGCCGCAAGAAGCATCATGAGGTATGGATCTCTGTCGAAACCTTAGACAATATTCAAGAAATGAAATGACAGCAGTCAACAACAGAGAAAGTCAAGGCACAAGTTGAATACACAGAAGCTAACAAACAAATAAAGAAGGGCATTAGAGCCGACAAGCAGAAATACGTGAAAGACAGCCGGAACAACTGCAAGAAAAGGAAATATAAAACAACCATTTGACGGAAGGAAGAAACTGGCAAGTAAATATGGTAAATCAGAGAAACCGGCTAAGGACAAAGAAGGCAAAACAATCACCGAGATTCAAGAACAGAGGAACA